GAAGCATTGGGGATAGATGGAGCAGGGGCGAAGGAGGGGGGGGGGGAGGAGGAGGGGGAGGAGAAGGAGGAGGAGGGGGGAGGAGAAGGAGGAGGAGGGGGGGAGAAGGAGGGGGAGGAGGAGGGGGAGATGGGGACAACGCTGAGCAAAGATGGGGAATTTGGCATTGCACCGCTGGCTTCTTCTTCTTCTTTTAAATATAGTTTCAAAAGATTTTCATATGAAAGAGGAATGTAATATTATAAAAAGTGAAAATTTTTACAAAAGATAAAAGAAGTAGTAGAAAGGACAGTGCATGTAGGGAAGGGAAGGGGAAGGGGTAAAAGGAAAGAGAGATAAGGAGGGAGGGAGGAGGGAAGGAAGGAAGAAAAAAGGGAAAGAGGAAGAGAAGAGAAAGGGAGAGGAGGAGAGGAAAGAAGGAGGAGAGGGAAAGGAAAAAGGAAAGGAAAGGAAAAGAGGAAAGGAAGGAAAAGGAAAGGAAAAGGAGGAAAGGAAAGGAAAAGAGGAAAGGAAAGAAAGGGAAGGGAAGAAGGAAGGAATAAAAGGAAATAGAGATAAGGAGGGAAGGGGGAGGGAAGGATGAAAGGAAGGAAAGAGGGAAAGAGGAAGAGAAGAGAAAGGGAGAGGGGGAGAGGTAAGGAGAAGAGAGGGAAAGGAAAGGAAAAGAGGAAAGGAAGGGAAGGGGGAAGGGAAAGGAAAGGAAAGATTTCCCATTTGCTTTACAACAGTTACAAACAAATTCATTATCTCTCTTCCCTCTTTAAAGTTACAACACAATTCTCTCCTGGCCTTTGAAAGACAAGTAAAATTTGTCTAGACATAGTACATATAAGGAGGGCAGAAAAGAATTAGGCTTCTGCCTTTAGCCCACGTTTTCATTTTTTTAAAACACTGATTGCCCTGGTAAAGCACTGTGGATCAAGCATGATTAATACTCAGATGGAAGCCTAACCAGAGATTCCCAGAACAACGACAACACCACAACACAACGTAAGGGATTTTTAAAATATGACTTATGTATTACTTTTATATAAGGGAAGATGGCAGCTTAGCCAGGATTGTGGGGCAATGGGGCAACCCTAACAGGAAGCCCATTGTCAGGGTAATGACAATTTAATAGCTGACCAGCTGCTCTAAGGTTGTAAACCGAGATGATGACATGAGGATGAGTCAGCAGGGTTACTGCCACTTTAAGAAGCTGTATATATAACGGAGGCCATGCGAGGGAATCTCTCTCTCCTTGTGTTCTATCTCCATTGTAGTTCTCGGTGTAGAGTTGAAGATCGATTCTTGCTTGGCATTTGCCTAACATGTGTATGTATGTTTATATAAGTCTTGTATATAAACCACTGTTTGAAAGGCAAAACCTCTGTGTACTGTATTTTACTCCTGGGTTGTCTCAAAATAGTAGTCATGCTGCGCACACTCTGATACCCATTGTAGAAACCCCCTTGCTCACCTTTTGAGAAGAACGTGCTGACCATGAAGCTGAAGGAGATGGTTGAGATACAAAACATAGCCAGGAAAGTGAAGACCAGAGTTGGGTCGCTCTTGACCAAGACTGCCCCCTCTCCACTCACCTGCAAAGATGGAAGCCTGTTAATAGGTTCTCCTACTCGAGGGGTGTCAAACTCAAGGCCCGTGGGGTGCTTAGATCTCTGCCCACAGGGCCAGCCTGGAAACAGCAAAGGACCGGCCCATGGTGCCTCTGCTAGTGAAAATGGAACTCAGGGTGGCGGGGTGGGTGACAGAGGGCTATCAAAATAAACTAGAAACAAAACAAAAGGAGAACTGTTTCCCCTTTTCCATTTGAACATTGAAGAAGGGACAGGAAAGGAGAAAGGGAAAGAGGAAAGACAACGAAAAAGGAAGGAAACATGGGAAGAGAGCAAGAAAGGAAAATAAGGAAAGAGGGGAAGGAAGAAGAAAGGAGAATGAAGAAGGAAGGAAGGAAGGAAGGAAGGAAGGAAGGAAGGTGTCAGTAGACTGTGGACGCTGCCATG